CGTATTCCTCTTGTCAAGTCACTCCTGAACAACAATCAACGTCAAAAGGGTCTTACCTGGGCTAAAGAAAAACAGACCTGGTCTGTTGCTCAGTGGTCCAAAGTCCTCTTTTCTGATGAGAGCAATGTTTGCATTTCATTTGGAAACCAAGGACCCAGAGTATGGAGGAAGAATGGAGAGGCACACACTGCATGATGCTTGAAGGCCAGTGTGAAGTTTCCACAGTCTGTATTGATTTGGGGAGCCATGTCATCTGCTGGTGTTGGTCCACTGTGCTTCATTAAGTCCAGGGTCAACGCAGCCATCTACCAGGAGATTTTGGAGCACTTCATGATTCCATCCGCAGACGAGCTTTATGGTGATGCTGACTTCATTTTCCAGCAGGACTTGGCACCTGCCCACACTGCGAAAAGCACCATAACCTGGTTCAATAACCGTGGGATTACTGTGCTTGATTGGCCAGCAAACTTGCCTGACCTGAACCCCATAGAGAATCTATGGGGCATTGCCAAGAGAAAGATGAGAGACATGAGACCAAACAATGCAGAGGAGCTGAAGGCCGCTATTGAAGCATCCTGGTCTTCCATAACACCTCAGCAGTGCCACAGGCTGATAGCTTCCATGCCACGCCGCATTGAGGCAGTAATCTCTGCAAAAGGAGCCCAAACCAAGTACTGAGTACATATGCATGCTTATACTTTTCAGAGGTCCGATATTGTTCTATGTACAATCCTTGTTTTATTGATTGCATGTAATATTCTAATTTTCTGAGATTGTGGATTTGGGGTTTTCATGAGCTGTAAGCCATAATCATCACAATGATGACAAATCACGGCTTGAACTATCTTGCTTTGCATGTAACGAGTCTATCTCATATATTAGTTTCACCTTTTAAGTTGCATTACTGAAATAAATTAACTTTTCCAAGATATTCAAATTTTTCGAGTTTCACCTGTTTTTGTAGCTATGTGTCTCCATTACAGTCTTTTAAACTTTCCACGATGCAGAAAATCCCTGCGAGAACATGGTCCCTGCCATAGGGGAACTTTATTATGCAATCACAAGGCAGGCCTTGATGTATCCAACAAACAAAGGCAGGTCTTACACTTATAACTCCCTCTGCCAAATGGCCTTTAACACCCAGCAACTCTAACCCTTTCACCTGGTTCTCCCGATGTCTTAGAACAGGACCTATGTTGCATTATTATGTTGGAAAAAATGGGGCCAAAATATGTAAGCACCCTTTACAGCATTTCGACGGATTACCAAATACACATTCTGTTTGTATTATGTTATATAGTATACCTTTTCCCTAGACCTCTCTATAATTCCTTTTTCTAAACCTTGTGTCATTCTCCATCACTTTACCATGCAGATTCATACATCATTCATATGTGGTTGCCACATCACTTTCAGAGAGAGACAACTGATAATCAGGTCACCACCTTTTCCAAAATGGCTGCACCCTGATCTTTGGCAAAACATGAACATACAAAATCTCGAGCACTCCTGTGCTCAACTCATAGTTTAATGGAAGTTCTATATATTCCCCACTATAGCAACACAGCAACACTGGTATAAGCCTAACAGTTGTTTCATATGACCCTGATGTACAAATAAAAAAATATGGAAATTGTACCGTAAGTACTGTACCTGTAAGGTGCTGTGAGGTGCATTCAGAAATTTGTTTAAAAAATGTACAACCATTCATAGACCCACCAGTAAACAGATGGGTTATTAGGAATATGAATCTTGGCCTCCAGTAGAAACATAGAAAGTGACAGCAGAAAAAAGACCAAGTGGTCCATTTTAGTCTGCCCCCTCCATTTTTTTTGTTATATAGTAATGTGCAAAAGTTTTAGGCAGTTGTGAAAAATGTTGTAAGAATGCTTTCAGAAAAAGAGGTGTTAATAATTTATTTTTAGCAATTAACAGAATGAAAAATCATTTGGTGTGACCACCCTTTGCATTCAAACAACATCAATTCTTCTAGGTGCACTTGCACACGGTTTTTGAAGGCACTCAGCAGGTAGGTTGTACCAAATATCTTGGACAACTAATTATAGATCTTCTGCTGGTGTAGGCTGGCTCAAATCCTCCTGTTCCTGCATGTAATCCTAGACAGACTTGATGTTGAGATCAGGGCTCTGAGGGAGCCAAAGCATCTCTTCCAGGACTCCTTTACTGTGAAGATACAGTAGTTCTTAATGACATTGGCTGTTTGTTTGGGGTCGCTGTCCTGCTACAGAATAAATTTGGGGCAAGTTACATACCTCCTTGATGGTATGACGTGAGGGATAAGTATCTGCCTGTATGTCTCAGCATTGAGGACACCATTGATCCTGACCAAATCTCCAATTCAATATGCTTAAATGCAACCCCAAACTTGCAAGCAACCTCCACCATGCTTCACTGTTGCCTGCATACACTCATTATTGTACTGTTCTCCAGCCCTTTGAAGAATAAACTGCCTCCTGCTATAGCCAAATACTTCAGATTTTGACTTATCAGTCCATAGCACCTGCTGCCATTTTTCTGCACCTCAGTTTCTATGATTTCATGCATAGTTGAGTTGCTTAGCCTTGTTTCCATGTCAGAGGTATGGCTCTTTTTGGCTTCCATTAAGACCACCTCTGGCCAGACTTCACCGGACAGTAGGTGAGTGTAGCTGGGTCCCACTGGTTTCCTCCAGTTCTTGGTATAATTGGTTAATCGTACGCCTGACTCTAATCCTACAAAATCCCAGACTTTGTGCAAGTGCACAAAGTGTGCAATTATAAGAACTGATGCTGGTTTGAAGCCAAAAGGTAGTCACACCTAATATTGATTTGATTTAGAACACATATGTCCAACACAAGGCCCTTGGGCCGAATCTGGCTTACCAGTCCTCTCAGAGGCCCCCAGATCTAACAGATCCCTGCATGCGGGGCACAGCTGGGACAGATCTCCAGACTCTGAACAAGTGAACAATTTCCCTTCAAGGCGAGGCAGAGCTGCTTATACAGGGAGGTACTAGAGCAGAGCCAGATAGGAGAGAAATATGCAAGGAAGCTCTGAGTGGGGAACCCTGCACTCTGTATGTAACGTACTCCTGAACCCTGCACTCTGTAAGTAATGGACCCCTGAACTCTGCACTCTACATGTAGTGCACCCCTGAACTCTTCACTCTGTACGTAGCACACTCCTGAACTCTATACTCTGTACGTAGCGTAATCCTAAACTCTGTACGTGACACACTCTTGAACCCTGCACTCTGTAATTAGCACACCCTTGAACTCTGCACTCTGTATGTAGTACACCCCTGAACTCTGCACTCTGTATGTAGTACACCCCTGAACTCTGCACTCTGTATGTAGTACACCCCTGAACTCTGCACTCTGTATGCAGCACACACTCCTGAACTCTGTACATAGCGTAATCCTGAACTCTGTACATAACATACTCCTGAATCCTGCACTTTGTACGTAACATACTCCTGAATCCTGCACTCTGTACGTAACATCCTGCACTCTGTACGTAACATACTCCTGAATCCTGCACTCTGTATGCAGCGCACCCCAGATACAACCAGCCCACTGAGGGCAACTATACTGCTGATGCAGCCCATGATGAAATAGAGTTTGAGACCTCTGATTTAGAGTTTTTCTTCTGTTTGCTCACTTTGCATTTTGTAAATTGATAAAAAATAAACAATTAAAATAAATATTATTGAAAGCATACATACTTTACAGCTTTCTTCACGCCTGCCTAAAACATTTGCATTAGTTTTTTGTTTGTGTTTTTTGTCAACCTTTTTTAACTGAATATAAAATTGTGTTTGTCCCAAGCATTTTAAATCCACTCACTACCTCTGCTGGAAGTCTATTCCAAGCATCAACTACTTGTTCCATAAACTGATACTTTCTACGATTAGTTTTGAACTATTCTCCTTGTTCTTGTGTTCTTGATCTTGGGTTCATATTGAAAATACTGCCCTCCTGAACTTTATTGACCCCCCAACTTTATACCATTTTGCAGTCCACCTAAAATTGATATTTCAGTTGGCTGATGCTACAGGGCTCACTGCTTTATACTCTTTTGAGAAACTCTAACAGCAAAATACTCTACTCAAGTTCTGGGCAAGGTTTCCACCTTTCACTGCAGTCTGACTTCTCCTGCAGCAGCAGAATGAGTCTTATTCCTTTTGTTTTATTCTGCGTAAAGTATATTTTGTTCAATAATTTCTGAACATTTTTAGAAGCCTTTATATAAAATCGTTATTCATAAACTCTATAATATTTACTGTATTTTTGCTCCATAAGATGCACTTTTTCCACCCCCAAAAAATGGGGGAAAATGTCTGTGCGTCTTATGGGAAGAATATGGAGCTGCCGGCCTGGTATTCCCGCCGCCGCCATGTTAGAATACCGGGCCGGCCACTCGACACTTCTGTGCTCCTCGGACCTACCTGTTCCTCGATCCAGCGCTGTCCTCACTGTCTTTTCTCCCCAGCGCCGGCATCTTTACTGTGGGCACCCAGCTGTGACAGCTTACGGCTTCACAGCCGGGTGCCCACTGTGCATGCACGAGAAGCACTCTGCGGAAGTGGGAGCGGGTACCTGTCAAATTTGGGTACCCGCTCCCCCCCTCTGCTCCCCAAAGGTCCGCAGTCTCTGGTCATCTCCTGTACTATGTTCGCAGTCTCTGGTCATCCCCTGTATCGTGTCCACAGTCTGTGGTTATCTCCTGCACTGTGTCCGCAGTCTCTGGTCATCCCCTGTATCGTGCCCGCACTCTCTGGTCATCTCCTGTACTGTGTCTGCAGTCTCTCCGGTCATCTCCTGTACTCGTGTCTGCAGTCTCTGTTTCTGGTCATCTCTCTGTACCCCTGTATCGTGTCCGCAGTCTCTGGTCATCTCCTGTACTATGTCTCCTGCAGTCTCTGGTCATCCCCTGTATCCGTCTCTGTCCCCCTGCAGTCTCTGGTCATCTCCTGTACTGTGTCCGCAGTGTCTGGTCATCTCCTGTACCGTGACCGCAGTCTCTGGTCATCTCCTGTACCGTATCCACAGTCTCTGGTCATCTCCTGTACCGTGTCCGCAGTCTCTGGTCATCCCCTGTATCGTGTCCGCAGTCTCTGGTCATCTCCTGTACTGTGTCCGCAGTGTCTGGTCATCTCCCTGTACCGTGTCCGCAGTCTCTGGTCATCTCCTGTACCGTATCCACAGTCTGTGTCTGCAGTGTCTGGTCATCTCCTGTACCGTGTCCGCAGTCTCTGGTCATCTCCTGTACCGTGTCCACAGTTCTGGTCATCTCCTGTACCGTGTACCGTGTACCGTGTCCGCAGTTTCTGGTCATCTCCTGTACCGTGTCATCTCCTGTACTGTGTCCGCAGTCTCTGGTCATCCCCTGTATCGTGTCCGCAGTCTCTGGTCATCTCCTGTACCGTGTCCGCAGTCTCTGGTCATCTCCTGTACTGTGTCTGCAGTGTCTGGTCATCTCCTGTACCGTGTCCGCAGTCTCTGGTCATCCCCTGTATCATGTCCGCAGTCTCCGGTCATCTCCTGTACCGTATCCACAGTCTCTGGTCATCTACTGTACCGTATCCGCAGTCTCTGGTCATCTCCTGTACCGTGTCCGCAGTCTCTGGTCATCTCCTGTAGTATGTCTGCAGTCTCTGGTCATCTCCTGTCCTATGTCCACAGTCTCTGGTCATCTCCTGTACTGTGTCCGCAGTCTCTGGTCATTTCCTGTACTATGTCCGCAGTCTCTGGTAATCTCCTGTACTATGTCTGCAGTCTCTGGTCATCTCCTGTGCTATGTCCGCAGTCTCTGGTCATCTCCTGTACCGTGTCCACAGTCTCTGGTCATCTACTGTACTGTGTCCGCAGTCTCTGGTCAGGTCTCTCCTGTACCGTGTCCGCAGTCTCTGGTCATCTCTCTGCAGTGTCTGTACTGTGTCCGCAGTCTCTGGTCTCTGGTCATCTCCTGTAGAATGTCTGCAGTCTCTGGTCATCTCCTGTACTATGTCTGCAGTCTCTGGTCATTTCCTGTACTATGTCCACAGTCTACAGTCTGGTCATCTCCTGCACTATGTCCGCAGTCTCTGGTCATCTCTGTGTCCGCAGTCTCTGGTCACTACTGTGTCCGCAGTCTCTGGTCATCTCCTGTACTATGTCCGCAGTCTGTCTCTGGTCATTTCCCCACAGTGTACTGTGTCCGCAGTCTCTGGTCATTTCCTGTACTATGTCTGCATCTCCTGTACTATGTCCGCAGTGGTCATCCCCTGTACTGTGTCCACAGTCTCTGTACCTGTACTATGTCTGCAGTCCATTAGTTCAGAATATTTTTTTTCTTGTTTTCCTCCTCTAAAACCTAGGTGCGTCTTATGGTCAGGTGCGAAAAACACGGTAATATTTTGAATAAATTGACTGGGGGTTATTGTATACATATATTATATGTTCTTAGATTCCAACCCAGACAGATAAAAAGTGTTTACAATTTACAAAGCAGAAAATCAACTGCAGTTCCAGTTATGCCCAGATATGGCGATAAAGGGCCCCTTTATCTCTTCCGTTGTAACTGCTGTGTCTTTTAGGTTATCGTTTACATTATGGCAGTGTTTCTAAACCTTTTTTCATTTGTGGCACCCTTTAAATTCTGCACAAATTTTAGGTAGCCCATTCTAACATGTAACATACTAAACTAAAAGTTTTGCATACCCCAGCAACATCCACACACATAGGACACCCAACATTAGACATGATTTATTCTTACATTGCAAATACACATTTACCTGCTGGTACTGACTAGTAGCATTTCTCGTCTCCTTTAGTTTCTCTCACACAGCTAACGTGTCCCCAGTACCAATGAGGTGGGGCAGGGAAGGGGCAAACAAGGATTCTATGCAGGCATGCAAAGTCCTCCTTATCAGCCAATGACGTCACTGGTTGTTAGGATGCCAATGGCTGGACCACACGGTGTCCAAGGTTGTAATGCTGCACCACAAAACATGTGGCTTTGTTTAACTAAAAGGCAGGCTTGATCCATCCGTCATCTTGTACACTATTTTGGGGCAGTTTTTAGGCATTTTAATAAGACACACTAGAACATCCAAGAAGGCACCTGCAAGTGCCACGGCACCCTGGTTGAGAAAGGCTGCTTTACGACATTACAGATACCTAATCTACATACGATATAAGATATATTTTCTGTTTATTTAAAAACAATAAGTCATTGGCCCTATGAAGTGAAAGTTATCCTCCAGACCTTCAATTTTTTTTTGTATAAACATTAAAAATTCATACTCACACAAAGATAAAAAAAACATAAACAACAAACAAACATATAAAAAAACGTATGTTCAAGGTTCCCATTCTATTTTCATATTCTCCCACCTTGTTTTTCTTAAAAGAGAGAAAGGGAGACAGTAGGAATATCTAAATTGGAATGCAAAAAATATTACCCAGCCCTGCAACCCTACTGCCCATATCCTCTCTTACACCCCCCTTTCCCTTTCTCCCTCTGTTTTCCCAACTGCCTCCTAATACTTGTGTTGTGAGATCACACACCATCTCAATAAGATAAAGATATTGTTTATATTGGAGAGATAAAAAAAAGAGGTGAATTGTGTATTAATCTAAATATTCTCCCACCCCACCCCACCACACCTCACCTCTTACCTCCCTTCAGGCCCAAAATGGGCATTGTACATTCAGTGAAAATGCAAAATCGTATTGCCTGTGTACGAACAGATTATGTACTCTTTATTAACTAATTCTACCTTCTACCAATCTATCTCACCTCTAAGGAGGGCAAAAAAGGCAGAAAAAAAATGGGAAAAGAGGCCTTCAATTTGAAACCATTTATAGATAAATGAAGGAAACTACTTATATATATAACACATATAAACACACAAAAAACACAACACTCAGAAGAGAGAACATACACTCAACTCACAATAATTCCACACATGTACACAATATACACAATGCTCATGCAACAACAGGTACACATAAATTTTTTTTTAAAATGATACCCGCACAACATGCACACAATAATATATTTGGATGCTAGTTCAAAGATCCTTGGTGTGCTATCGACATATCCCTTAACCATTAATACAAGCAATACATAAAGCTCTTTTGGTTTGGGGGCTAGAAGTATGCCAAAAGGGAACTGGTGGCAAGCAATGACATTACAATAAGGACGATGAACTAGGTCACACATGACAGCTTCTGCCCTAAAGTCTGGCCTCAGAAACAGTGATGTCCAACTGGAAACCATACTTGTAAACTAAACTGAGCAAATAGATTTCATGAAACAAAGAAGCAACATTCTCAAACAAATTTATCTTTGCATGTAAGTCAAACCATCTAAACAGAAGGCTGATAATAAAATAAGACTTTAATCATACAAAATAAGCACCATTCATATGTATAGTGTAGGGATACACAGATTTTAAGGCGCACACTGTAAAACATTATTGGTATATACATTTGACTCCGTGTATGCCTTGCAACAATGGCGGAGTAAACTGAGCAATCACATTCGCAATCAAGTCATGCCGGATAATACACATGCACACTATATTATAGCCCTATTATCTGAAGACAATTACTAATATGCCCAAGCTGCTCAACCAAAACAAAAACATGCCAACGTAGCACTAAAATACCATTCTAAAATTCAATAGAAGCTAAAAAAACAAATTTGAGTAAAGATAAGCATAAATCCTGGTAAACTATAAGAACAAATATTTATATTAATGAATAGTTTTTACAAATATATTTTAGCAAATTCAAGTTTATTGGAAACAATAAGTCATCATTAATTGTTAAAAATATGCTCCAAAGCTAAACAGTAAAAAAACAATTTGTTTATATATATATATATATATATATATATATATATATATATATACACACACACATATATAAACTAGTTATTGCACAGCAAATATGTGCAATGAATATGTATATTTTTTCATAATTTAGGAATTGTCCGCACAGTATCATGCCATGCATATTTTAAAAAAAAAAAAGACACTGTACCTGTTTTTACAGCATATTTTAAGGTGGTTTTACAGTTAAGCAGAATCCCCTCCAAACTCTGTGGCTGGTCGGACAGTTCCCAGTTATATTCCTGAAGAAGCTCATTGGGATAGTGAAAATCAATCACCTTATTTGATCTGTCAAAGGTATTCACCACGTATTGCAATAAAATGTCTATCATTTGTTGTAAGAAACGCATTGTTTCTGCCTCTCCATTTTTTGCAGGAAGAAGGTCTGAAAAAAAAAAGAATGAGAAATGTTTAGAATAATTTATGTTTATTTTCACATTATGAGCAAAATATTCTTTGTTAAAAAAAACCCCATAGAAATAAACAAATTCAGAGAATATGGAATATAATTACATTGTTGCATTTTTATATTTAATCTAGTTTAATATTGTTACATTTCATGTTTTAATATGTTGATGTATTTTATATATTTTAAAAATTAATAGTAAACAATGTAAATGTGCTATTTGGGATTTTTTTGTTTTATTGTAACATCTGCAATAGATTATTTAAAGAAGAAAAAAAATGTGCATTCATGTTAAATCCTTTAAGTTTAAGTGATTGTGCAGAACAATTGCCCTAATCAGAGTGTGTCAATTAAATCCTTATCTCTAATCCAGAGGGTTCACTGGGCAAGATACACAATTTTAAAAAAGACACAAAGTATGATGGACTGCAGGAAAAGATAACATTATTTGCTTGCACATTCTAGGATAAATTATTCTTAATATAAAATACTATGTGTATATTTTATATATATATATATATATATATATATATATATATATATATATATATACTATGCAAATTATTAAAGAAAAACATTTTCCTTATTTAATTTTGTTTACATTTAATTTTCCTTTCTATAATTTAACAAAGGAAGAATTTGTTATTTTCCTGCACAGTACATACCTGTTGAGTATAATAAGGAGAAGTTTATTTCACCCTTGTCGCAGCTGCATACCTTCTTGTCATAGCTGGATTCAAATCCTTGGTCACCGGTACATAGTTCCTCTTTATTGGTGGACTCTTTGGGTTTTTCCCCCTCTCCATAAAGCATAGCTAGACAGGGAGATCAGTACATGAAGTGAGTTTAAATATGTTTATATCTGGAACAGATATATGATAGCTACATATGTATATAATAATTTATAACATAACATACTACAATAAAATTTAGTTCCACAGTTCCATAAAATTGAATTCTATATGATATTATAACATTTTAATATTTCATGAAAAATCTTAATGTTGGCACTCACCACATAATTTGGAGCTGATTCCACCAGTAAATTTTTGAGCAACCTGGCACCAAGCTTTTGCTGGAAAGAAAAAAAAGAAAAATTGTGTACATTTTTAAATCTGTTTCTTTCTTTCTTTCTTTCTTTTTCTTTCTTTCTTTCTTTCTTTCTTTCTTTCTTTCTTTTTTCTTTCTTTCTTTCTTTCTTTCTCTTTTTTTTTTCTTTCTTTCTCTCTCTCTCTCTCTTTTTTTTTCTTATTTTGTTTTATTTATTTCATTATGCCCTTTATCATTAAATCTGTTTCAAATCTAAAATGTAATATTTAAAAAAATGGTTTCTTTTATTTAATGAACCATCAATAAATGTTACTTTCTTGAGATATATGATCTTTTTAAATGTATCTATACTATAATTACCCTTTACGGATTGCACAGTACGTTATCCGTGTAGAAATATAATAAAGCAAACTACATTCTCCTACACTACATTTAGAGCAAAAAGTGTGTTTGAATGTTTGGATCTGAACGATGCTGAATACTTGTCTCCATGCCAGCAAGAAAAGAAAGAAATCAGATCCAGCTTACTCACCTGTGCCTAGGTTGTCTGATTCACTGTTCGGCTCTTCTGCCCCAAAGGACCAAAATCCAGAGCCAGGAGATGCCATCCCAACCCTGGAGAGCACAGACAGCAGTGGGGTGGCAGCTGATGCTAGTGTTGCTGTTGAATCCCTTGTAGAGGATCATAGACATAAACAGCCAAGTAAAGAAGAGTGCCTATCGGAGGGGTAATGAGTGCCGGGGGAGAGTGAGGTGTGTGCGGAGAGTGAAGGGAGCCCAGCGCTGAGCGGTCAATGAGAAGGCGAGCTGTCAGCCTGCAGAGAGCAGCCTATGTACGGAGCTGTCTGCGGTGCTGAACCCTCCCGGCGGAGCACTGTACTCCTGTAAGTCACTCAAATCTCTCTCCTCTACATCAGACCCTCTAAGAGTCCAGACACCCCCACCCCCTCCCTGAACACTTTCAGCCACCTATTGGTTAATCACGCTGTCTTCTGTCATAGTGGATTTTATGGGACAAAATACAAGGGAAGGCTCTAAGATGACGCTGCAGGACCTCATTCTGACGTTATTTCAAAAA